CGAGAATCTGTCCACGATGGTTAGGATGGTCTCGAGCTGGTTGACAGGAGGTAACCCCGTGACAAAGTCTAGGCCGATGTGGGACCATGGTCGGTGTGGAATTGGGAGAGGGTGTAGATTTCCAGTCGGGGGTTGGTTTGGGGTCTTGGAGCGGGCGCAAGTGGAACATCTATTCTTGGACATCTTTGGCCATAGAGGGCCACCATAGCGCACGTCGTAGGAACTGGAGGGTTCGGGTCTCCCCTTGGTGACCAGCCAGGCGGGATGCATGCCCCCAGGCCAGGGCTTCAGAGCGGCAGGTGGAAGGCACATAAAGCTGGTCGGAGGGTGCGTTGGCAGGTGCTGGATCGATAAGCAAGGCAGCCCGGATGGCGTCCTCTACTGGCCAGTGGAGAGCTGCGATAAACTTCTGGGCTGGTAGAATGGGTGGCAGTTCCCTGACGGGTGCAGATTGGGTGTAATGGCAGGAAAGGGCGGAACATGAAAATAGTCTCCTACACTCATCTCCTGCATTAGTTTTGATAGAAAACAGACGGTGAAACTCAAGGGTTGGAAACACCTGACAGATCTACCTCACACCGTCACTAAACATTCATGGACTCACCCATCTTGACTCATGACGGGGAAGGCTGTTGCAGAGAACATCTGGACTAGTAGAAGCTAACCATTAGCATTAGCAACTCCACCACAGAGCAGAACTCCTTCAGCATTGTGCAAATCTTGTGAGCGATCTGTTCTGCGGTGCTTCACAGCTGGTGTATTCTGGGCATGAGGCCACTAAAACAGATCGCCTCACCACCTTGGCTGCACCTAGAAACCCATAAAAGTTATGAACAGAATCTGTGACAAAGGGCAGCCTTGTCCCAGTCCAACTCTAACTGGGAACGAGCTCGCCTTACTGCTGCAGAAGTGGACCAAGCTCTGACACCGGTCACACAGAGACCTAACAGCCCGTATCAGATGGGCTTAAATTAATATGACTGTTCAGGTCATGCAAGACAAAATCTTCCCTCCACAGGATGTAAGGGATTCATTCTGTGTGCCTTTTGTCTGCAGAAGGCTTTTCATTCACACCTCCTCGCTGAAGCTGCTGGTAAATCGTAGGTGAACTGTCACGTGTGTGTCTGCGTCTTTAAAGAGCTCCTGCAGTTGTTGTTGCTGCTGATGTCATCACTGTGGTTTTTCTCCCTCTGACCTCCTTTAATGGGAGCCACTACTTCATTTTTCTCCTCTCTGTGGTCCTCCTGACTGTCGCGATCCAGGCCCTCTGTGTGGAAAGCTGATCCATGGCTCTATTGATGACAGTTCATCAGCATGCACGGGGCTCTGCCATCACCACAGTGACTAAGCCCAGCAACCAGTTCCTGAGGTTTCATTAGGCCCCTGTGATCCTCCCAACAGCTACTCCTCTACAGCCTCTGATGCATTCAGTCAAGACCTGATTTATTACGTCTGTCAGTTGGAGTCGAGTTTTTAAAAGTACCAAAAATATCTATCTATCTATCTATCTATCTATCTATCTATCTATCTATCTATCTATCTATCTATCTATCTATCTATCTATCTATCTATCTATCTATCTATCTATCTATCTATCTATCTATCTATCTATCTATCTATCTATCTATCTATCTATCTATCTATCTGTCTGTCTGTCTGTCTGTCTGTCTGTCTGTCTGTCTGTCTGTCTGTCTGTCTGTCTGTCTGTCTGTCTGTCTGTCTGTCTGTCTGTCTGTCTGTCTGTCTGTCTGTCTGTCTGTCTGAGTTATTGGCAGTAGCTCTAAAATGTGCAGTTGTAAAAGTGTGAGGGGAGACACCTTCCATCAGAGGAGACCTGCTCAGAGACGGGGTGAGTCACGTTCTCTCCTCATGTTTTCCTGTGCAGGTCACCTGTTGGCAGGAACCTGTGAGATTGTAACTCTGGCCCGAGACAGCAGCCAGCCCCGGAGGACCATCGCCCGTCAGACCGCCCGCTGCGCTTGCAGGAAGGGACAGATCGCTGGGACAACGCGAGCCAGACCAGCCTGTGTCGATGGTGAGACACAAAGATATGCTGTAGAGATCATATGTGTCTTAAGCTTTTGGGTGTTTTCCCTTTGGGGTGAAGAGTCTCAGCATGTTTCAGTCTGGCACGTTTTATCACAGCAACCCACAAGCACATTAAAGATACGATGCTGTTTACAGGGCTGACAGCTCAGTCGCTCTGCAGTGGAAAGAAGAGGATTTCTGTTAATAAACATGGATATTTATATTTATTTTAACATGTTTTGATTACAAATGCATGGAGGCTGACATGTTGGAGTTAACCTAGCTATTCTTCACTCCTGCAGCAGCAGGCGGTGACGGGGTCTGGTTTGCCTACGAGAAACATTCTCAAAACACGTCTTCTGTTTTTGTGAGGAAAACGTTTAGAGGAAGCTTCGTCTGTGGCACACAGCTGCCTGACTGCTCAGTTAGAGGACAGGGATGACTCTGACACCTCATTAAAACGAGGTTATGTCCAAATATGAAACAGTTTTAGAAACAGCATAGAGAATTATTTCGATGGGATACAGAAATGAGGACACGTGATTGACAGAGGGTGCACACTGTTCATCCCCTGTTTTAATTGAATTACATGTGTGATTCAGACGTAAGAAAGCAGCTTTTATAGCTCCGTTCACTTACATCCATTTTTCTTTGTTCCTGGGACCCTTGAGCCGACCAGAAGGGACGGAGACCTTAGGCTGCCATTTATTATACTTCTATTTCTTCTCTGTTTGTATATTTACTCTATATTGATAAGACTGTTGCTCTTATTATTTATTTACAATAGGGTTTGAGGTGAGCGTTGTTTCACTTCCCTTTCCAGAAGTGATTCTGACATCATTCCAACAACTTAACATGTATGACACCATCAAACAGTGCAGCATGTTCCCAACAAGCTGCAGCGTTGTGTTCATCCATTCCTTCGGCCATGGTGCCTTTCCATCTGTTTCACTCAGGCCAGCGTTTGTTTACCATCTGTGCTGCTATTGGCTAACCGGAGGAATGCCAGCATGAATGGCCGCGTGTCACTACCTACTGTTGTGGAGTCTAACGCACTTCGCTCAGTAAAAAGGTGGCACAGGAGTTAAGTGCTCGCCCCGTAATCGGAAGGTTGCAGGTTCGAGCCCCGCTCAGTCTGTCGCTGCCGTTGTGTCCTTGGGCAAGACACTTAACCCACGTTGCCTGCTGGTGGTGGTCGGAGGGACCGGTGGCGCCAGTGCTCAGCAGCCTCGCCTCTGTCAGTGCGCCCCAGGGCAGCTGTGGCTACATCGTAGCTCATCCCCACCAGGGTGTGAATGTGTGTGTGAATGGGTGAATGACTGATTTGTGTTGTAAAGTGCCTTGGGGAGGTTCCAGGACTCTAGAAGGCGCTATATCAAATATAGGCCATTTTACCATTTACCATTTCTAATGGACGTGTAAGCAACGATAAATGCTAGAATGAAAAGAAAGAAGAAATGCTCCCACGCTGGTTAGCTATTAGCTTGATTAATGCTATAGCTGCACTTAGATGCACACGTAATCGCTCTCACACAAGGAACCAAGGAACCTTGGTCAAACAGTGAGACTCTTTCCTGTTTAAACATTCACTGGTATAAATGGGTCTGACTGTTTGTGACATCTGTTTCTGACCACCTGATCAGAGATCCTTTCCTAGTACCGCTGCAGAAATCTATTATAAATACTTGCAAGGATGCCTAAATTTCCTCAGTGAAGCAAGGCCGAAGAGCCTCTGCTGTTGTCGTGTTGAGCACCTGGGACGGCCGCTTCACTAGTCTCCTTTTGTTGAAATGGTGCCTGACTCTAAGTCAGGCTGCTACATCAGTATCCAGTTGCCCTGTTGCACAAGCCCATTGGACAAATGTGGCATCTTGATGGCCAGAGCCCACAAAAACTGTACAAAGCGGCAGGGCCGATGCACACCAAGGCTGCAGGTCCCAGTCCTGCCCCTGCGACAGGGAAACACCTGTCACAGGTGGATCAAAGTGTAAGAGGAGAATCCTTAAGTCTCACCGCCTGGTGTCATTTAGGGGGAGATATGGATTTAAACTGTTGAGTTTATGATAAAAAGGTTGCTGTCTGTCTCTAATAGAAAAAGACCAGCTGCATTAAATCTTTTTAGATGAAACATGCCCATCCTTGCCAGGTGAGGTGTGGTGCAGAGCCCTGTGTGGGTCTGTTGGTGTTGAAGGGAAGGTGGGTTTAAGTGGTACCGGCAGGTCTTCTATAACTCACCATGTTTAAAACACTCTAGCCCGGGGTTTTGGTGTAGGGTGTATTTAGAGTGTCTAAGGATATTTTGGGATGTTGTATTTAGTCATTTGTGAAATTTTCTTAAGCGTGACCTTTTCTGTGACTGAATATTGGCTCACAGCCTAATAATTTTTGTTCTTCCGGCTCTTGGAGGGTTCAGACGCTTTTTTCCTCCTCTCCTCCATATCTTATCCTCAAGGCCTTTGTCTGTCTGTGTGTGCTGGGTGCACGGCTGCTTCTGCATTTTTTATGGAAACTGGAAACTGAAATTCACTAAAATGGATCTCGTCAGTTGGTCACTCAACGCGGTTGATAAAATTTTTTCAACAATGAGAACGGGAGAAGGGGCTCCTGGGTGCCCCTCCACGACAGACCCAGTTGGACTCATCATGGACTCCTGGAAACAGTGGAACTTGATTTGTTTATCTCAGCTGTCTGTGGAGGACTTTGAAGACGTGTGGATATTCGTGGTGTTGGTGTCAGGTTTCCTGCTCATTGGCCTTGGAGGCTACCTGGCTTAACGGAAAATTAACGAGCTGTCGAGGAATATTGGCCTGATCCCGGAGCTCAGAGATGGATTGCACCGCACTGTGAATTCAGACTCACATAATTGTCGAGATGAATCGTAAGCTTGGGACTTTGGCCGAGATTCATTCATTGGCACAAAAGATGGATGCCATCAAGGAGAGAGTGGACGAATCAGCACGGATTGGGATAGATTAACGTCCATTATTGGGATTTTGAGAGGTTGAGGACCAACAAACTGTAAGACAGAGAGGATATTATCTGTCTGGCCCCAAAAATAATTTCTAATTGGAATCTGGTGCCCTTGAGCCTGCAAGGCTCCAACGAAAACTCCCCCCTCAGAAGATATGTGGAATGTGCCGTCGCTATGGCAACTCAACTCTGTCTCCTATCCCAGCCTGGGCGGGACTGCAGGAAGGCCGCCGAATAGTTCCAAGGTCACTGCAACCCTCCAACCCTCAATGCTCCTCCCCCTGTTCAGACTGAGGTGACATGTGCTGCTTCTATCGTGGCTGCAAGAACTGAAGTGTGGATAGACCTAAACCCACCACCCCACCTAGTGGACACTTATGTTGTGTTGTCTGAAGTCTGTGTGCATATCTGTCTGAGGTGTTTTTTTGCAGAGCAAAGCTGCCCTCCTGGTGGAGGGTAACTCTGAAGTGCCTTTTTTTCCCTCCACCTGAACCAATCCTCATGTAACCCTCTTATCTCTATTAAGGTAGCGCGACTCAGGGTTGCGAATGACCACAGTCACCAGTTCTTGTCATGTGTCTTGCCCATGTATGTCTGATCTCTGAATTGTGTGTACTGGAACTCTTATTTCCCTCTGGGATTAATAAATTATCTTTGAATTGAATTGAAAAAACAGCCGATGCCTGCAGTATCCTCAGTTCTGCCCACCTCTTCATCGGGGCGGTGACGTTCAGAAAGTCACATCTCCGCTGGAAACGTCTCTCAGTTGCTTTTCATTTCATCAGCGGCTGTCTCCTTGTCTGTTTTTGTTTTTGCCATCTGGAAACGATGACAACAGCTGGAGGGACTCCGTCTGCTCTGTGGGGATTTAGTGGTTCTCCTGGAGATGGAGCTGTGCTTCTGAAGGGATGAGGAAACTGCTGCTTTTTCTCTGGAGGAAGAGCTTCAGTTAAAACTAATATGTGTGCTGTGATTTAAAGCTGTCTGGTTGTTTTCCTGACATCAGCACCATTTCCACACATCCCTTGCAGCCCAGAGGAGGTTAAGAATATTTTCACAAAAGTAGTGTAAATCATTCCATTTATTACATTTGTGTATTTTACATGAAACAACCTGAAACTGGGACCTGAAAACCTGGTCAGTTCAGGCCAAAGTGTAAAAAATGGATGGATAATAGCACTTGGCTGTGTGAATATTAGCAGGAAGTCACCCACTGTTGGATCAGCAGCTTGTCCATTCAGTGATGCTGAACTGCAAGTGAACGTGTGAAAACCGTTGCCGTCGGCGATCAGGGCTGATCGCTCTGCAGCTCCCAGCGAGAGTGCCGCTCAGCACCACAATCACAGACTGTTCAGCGGATGTCTTTTTACATTTTAGGGACTTCCTGAAAGTCTCTGGAAAAAAGCTTGGCTCAAGTCAGTGACTCGATGCAACCTGCTGGGATCCTTACACAGGAAACCTTTTACTGATTGGTTAAGGACCTGACCAGTATTGGAACATTTACTATGTGAAGTGCCTTGAGATGACTCTGGTCATGATTTGGCGCTATAGCAATAAACTGAATTAGATGTTGTAAATGTAAATTACAGCAGAAATGCTAAAGTAGAAGATTGCTGAATGTAAGCTACACATGTAACGTTTTTCACTTCCTATTTAGAGGGTTTATGACCTTTAAAGAGATGCGGGTTGATATTTATGTCACTTTTCCCACGTTTTTGGTTAAAAACATAAAAGATCTTGTCAGCTCTTAAGGGGAAACACTGGTTTAAATAAGATGAAAATTTATTAAACATTATTTTATTTGTTTTCAGATTTTAGAATACATTTAAATGTAGGAATTTGGGGGTTAATATAGTTGCTTTTAAGCTTAATATATTACCTTTACTTATGACCAATAAGATGTAATATTCTATATAATTATAGAATATCAACCTGCTTGGTGTTTGGATGTTTAATCAGAAGATTCTAGGATTCTTTGCTTTTTCAGCGATCAAACACACTTCGTATTAATTCAGACAGAGTCAGGTTTATAAAAGA